GAATACCTTTGGGGATTTTGTAGGCCGACATTAGATACACAGGTAAACTGGACAACACCGAGTTCAAGAGCGTGATCCGACCTCCTAGGGATAAGTTTTGGCCTTTCCAGCTAGCTAATTTCTTCTTGAAAGACTCCAACAATGGCTTCCATAATGCTAACTTTCTGTGATTCCCTCCTACTGGTATTCCCAGATACTTGAATGGTAGATCTCCTTCTTTGCAGCACAATTGCCAAGCCATTCTCTCCTTCCAGCCCTCCTCAGTTCCAATCTCCATTAACTGGCTTTTACCAAAGTTGATTTTCAACCCCGAAGCAAGTTCGAAAGTCCTCAAAATGCATTTGACTACTTGTATGTTTTCATCCAAAGCCTCCCCGAAGAATAATGTATCATCGGCAAACTGGAGATGAGATACTGCTAAATTTCCGTTACCGATCCTCACCCCTTTGAACAAGTTTTTCTCCACCGCAGATTGCATTAACCCATTCAAACCTTCTGCCACTAGTAAGAATAGAAAAGGCGAAAGGGGATCGCCTTGTCTTATTCCTTTGTTGACCGAGAATTGCTTTGTGGGGCTTCCATTCACAAGGATGGAGATCATACTCAATTGCAAGCATTCCCTTACCCACTTTCTCCATTTAACTGTGAATCCCGTCCTCATAAGCATATAGTCAACAAAATCCCAGCTCACTTTGTCATAAGCTTTTTCAAAATCGACTTTGAATAAAAAGCTTTTTAGTCCCCTCCTTTTTGCTTCGTCTATGACCTCGTTTGCAATCACCACTCCATCCATCACCGCATGATCTGTGTGGCCTCATATGAATCACTCTTTCCTTTGTTTCCGATGACATATATATACACTTTATTTTATTCAAATTACATGAGCGAAGAACCTAAAAACACCCAAAAGCGAATAAAGTGATTTAAGATATTAATTGAATCTCTTGTGTTAGTGCAGTCATCTTCAGCTAACTCAAACTGTATATCTCAGCAAATCCATTCCGCACCTCTAACTTTTCTCATTTTGAGTTAATTTGACTAAGACCCTATATTTCTTTGAATAAAGGCCCTACATATATATGGGAATCCCTATGGGAATCCATATGATGTGGCATGTACAGTAGTAGTACACTATATTTCTGATGCAGTTTCTGCTATTCCGTGTAACTTTTTTTCGTTTTGAGTTAAACATTTCTAGCAATGTGCGGTGATCGTACTGATATCTTCTTTTGGCATGAGCACTGGCTTCATTCAGGTCTACAAATGCTTATATCTATGGTGTTAAGATTGTACTAATTAAATTCTGGTCCGTAGTTTTTTGGTAAAGTGTCAAAGTAGCAAATGGGAAATTTTGAAATTGGCCTCTGCTCGGTCTCTGCAGCTTGTTCAAATCCAGATGGATTTATTTGATACACTATATTCCAAAAGTGAAGAGGAGAGAAACACTTAGTTATTTGAACAGTCTCTTTCTGAAAGTGCCATTTCACGAGTTGGTTTGGTTCTCACATGAAATTCCTAAGTACAGTTTTATTTGTTGACTAGTAATTTTGAACAGATTAACTAGAGAAGGAGATGGAAGAAGTGGACTTCTAATATTAATGACATTTTCTTGTATGAAAATATTAATAAAAATATATAAAAGGTTAATTAAAATTAATTAAAAAAATAAATTTATATTTTTAAATAAAGTGTTGTATAAAAAATATCTATGTAAAGTATTATCAAATGAAATCTCAATCTACATGAAGGTTTCCTTAACCATTGGAAATAGACAGATTGGAGTACTGCTGCTACTCTGTTAGCCCAGAAAATATCTATAAAAAGAACATTTTATTACCACCTCATACTTTATATGATACGGTTTTGTTAGAAACAAAAACGAAAAAGAATAATTTGAAGAAAGATTTATTGCTTTTTTATTTTCATTGTATATACAAAGATCCTGTTTATAGATCTATACAAGAGAATATTCCTAGATATAAAACTATACAATAGAATATTCTTAAGTATAAAACCAATTAACTTAAATGTATATAATCAATTACAATGTGAATATAATATTCTAAAATAAATACTAATATTCTATATTCTAACAACCCCCCTCAAACTCAAAGTGATGGCGAGGAAACCAACTTGAATTTGGAAGCGTCCAGGGAAGTGAGCCTTAGTAAACAAATCAACAGGCTAATAAGCAAAACTAATGAAAATCAAATGAACAGTTCACTTTTCAACATGATGATGAATAAAGTGATAATCAACCTCGATATGTTTTGTGCGTTCATGGAAGACATCCTTGTAAGCAATATGTATAGCACTTTGATTATCACAGTATAAATCAGTAGAAGAAGGATAAGGAATGCCCATATCTTCAAGAAGCTACCATAATGAAAGAAGTTTTGATGTGGTATCACCGAGAGCTCTATACTTAGCTTCAGTACTAGAACGAGATGGAATAGTTTGTTTCTTACTCCGCCAAGAGATAAGAGAATTACCAAGGAAAATACAGTAACTAGTGGTAGATCATCTTTTGCAGAACTAGTTGGAGCATGTGGTGAGGCATTGTAGAGCTCATTAGATGTACCTACATCAGAATCACTAGGAATAGTTCAACAGAAGGATTAGTAAAGAAAGGAGGTTGAGGAAAGGATGACACTTTGAAGTTTGACAACGATGAGAACATAGTATGTTCCCAAAATACAACATAATGTGAAACTCGAAGTTTTGTGACACAAGATCCCAACAACGATATCCTTTTTGTGTAATCCCATAACCCAAAAAACAACATAATTGAGCTTTAGGTTCTAACTTGTTATGTTCATAAGGTGGAAGAAGAACAAACCTGCACAACCAAAAACCTTAACAAGATCATAGGTGGGAAGAATACCATGTAAACACTCGTATGGAGATTGGTTATTAAGGATTGATGATGGAATGTGATTAATGAGATAAACAATTATAATAGCAGCTTCACCCCAAAATCACTCTGGACAAGAAGATGAAATGAGCAAAGCATGAACAAAATCAACGATGTGTTTGTGTTTACGTTTGGCTTGCCCATTCTATTCAAAAGTGTAAGGACAAGATTGTTGTGTCGATGTACCCTATTCTTTGAGAAAGGATTGAAGTTTAGTACCAATATATTCAATAGCATTGTTAGTTCTCAAAACTTTGGTAATTTTAAAGAACTAAGTTTTGACCATGGTAGCAAAATCAATATAAATTTGTGATAATTCATAGCGATTTTTCATAAGATATATCCAAGTAAAACAAGTATGATCATCAATAAATAGCACAAAGTACTTGGAACCCCCCATGGTAGGTGTAGGAGATGGCCTTAAACATCAGAATGCATGAGATCAAAAGGAGCAGTAGAATGAGAATGACTAATAAAAAATGACAAGGCTGGTTGCTTTGCAGATTGACATGACATTAAATTCAAGGATTCGTTTGGAATAGATCCTAATAAACCACAAGAGATAAGTGGATGAATTTTACGAATTGAGGTATGTCCAAGCTGTGAGTGGCACAATTGGAGAGGAGAAATGTTAGTAGTAACACAGACTTGCAAAATTTGCTAGTATGGATTTTGTAAAGACTCTAATTCAACAGTACAAAGTAAGGTTTGGATGAAGCGATCATTTGGAAATAATGGTGTATCCATTTTATGATGTGAAATATGCTAAAAATTGAGCTCAAACAAACACCCCACCTTGCGACCAATTCCAAGAAGTTGTCCTATCTGTGGGTCCTACACATGACAACCACGAGCAGAAAATGTTACTTCAAAGCCAAGATTAAATAATTGACCAATAGATAGAATATTGTAAAACTAAGAGAGCATTTGGTAAAGTCAATGACTTTGTAGAAATATTGCCAATGTGACTAACATTCATAGAGGAACCATTAGCAAAATAAATATTAGGAAAGGAATTATTTGGTGGCATTGAAGAGAAATGAGCAATAACTAAAGACATATGATTACAACAATCAGAATCAAAATACCAAGGTTTGGTACTTGGAGCAGTAGATAAGATAGTAGGAGTATTAAAAAAAATTTAATATCAGTTGTTTTAGGAATTCAAGGTTGACATTAGGTTGGTCTATTACTTATTTGGCAACCATAGCAGTAGCAGAATGAGTTACAGTCTTTTTAAAACTCACCATAGAATTAGTAAAACTCTAAAAATATGAAGAAATAGATGCCAAGATAGAAATGATAACCCAACAAAATACCTCAAAAAATGGCCTGAAAATTGAGAATAAACAATCAAATCTGTAAGAGAAGAGATTCGAACAGCAAAGTTTCAAATCTGGAATAAATTTGAAAATCCAACTCCAAAAACCAGATAACAATGAAAAGAACCAAGAGCTTATAGCTCTGGTACTATGTTAGAAACGGAAAAAAGGAAGAATAATTTGAAGAAAAAGTTTATTGCTTTCTTATATTCGTTATATATATAAAGACCCTATATTTAGATCTATACAAGAGAATATTTCTAGATATAAAACTATACAATAGAATATTTTTAGGTATAAAATCAATTAACTTAAATGTATATAATCAATTATAATGTGAATATAATATTCTAAAATAAATTACAATGTAAATATAATATTCTAAAATAAATACTAATATTCTATATTCTAACAGGTTTAATAAAAATTATCAAAATTAAAAAAATAATAATTACTTATTGAAATTTCATATATATTTATCTTAAAAGTTAACCTTTATTTTTTGTTCTTGTTAAGAATGAAATTATTTTTAATAGAGACAAAATTAGAAAAAAAAAAACCTTTAAAATTATGTTTAAAATAAAAATTACAAATAAATTGGACAACCGATGGCCAAAAAAAATTGAACAACGCCTTGTTGGAGAGTGTAAAACGGTCTTGAAGTAGTATTTTAACTTCGAGCAAAATGGTTACTCTAAATGGAAATGAGTCTGACAGTTCAAATGAGAGCATATATTAATTTTTTTTGTTGTACTCGTTGTTTTTATAATTATTACCGTCATTGCCTTGGTTTTAGTCCAAGAATTTGGAGCTTCAAGCCTTCAACTATCTTCATATTTAAAAGAGAAGCTTCAAAAGATGAGAATATGGAAAAGAATATGGATAACGATAAGTAGGACAAAAATTTAAGATTAAAATTTGAGATTAATGATGTGACATAAATCATATTATTTAAAATATTAAAAAGTAAATCATATATTATTTAATAATTAAATTTTTTTTAAATTCATGATATTGTATATATTAACTAATTTAATAACCTAAATTAGTTAATATATACAATATCATGAATTTAAAGATGGCAGTATTCGTGATATGGGTCTATGGACAAATGGGGGCTGGTTTTGGAATTTTCAATGGAGAAGACCTTTGCGCGCATGGGAAGATGACAAAATGCAACAAATGCTCGAGGCCATAAAACACATAATGCCGTCACAAGAGGCGGAGGACACTTGGAGCTGGAGGATGGATAAGAAAGGAAAATATACCACAAGATCAGCCTATGAAGAGCTTGCAAGTAAAGAAGAAAACAATTTGATGGAACACAAAAAGCTGTGGGGTGCAAAGGTCCCATCAAAAGTGAGTGCTTTCTCTTGGCAACTGCTGCTTGATAGAATCCCTACCAAGGTAAATTTGGCTAAACGTGGGGTCTTAAATGAAAATCAAAATATCAATTGTGAATGGTGTGAATCAACCTCGGAACACAGCGATCATTTATTTCTCTCCTGCAACATCTCCTACAAACTATGGACAAGATGTCTAAATTGGTGGGGGATACAGTATGTACTCAGGAAAACTTGCACGGAGGTCTTCCGTCAACATAGCTGGCACAAAGGACCAAAAATCTTGAGAAAAAGCTGGAATATATTATGGTTCGCCTTAGTGTGGACAATTTGGTTGAGTAGAAATGAAACAGTTTTCCAACACAAGAAGCACGATGATGATAAACTGCTTCAACTAGTACAGATTCGATCATTTCATTGGGTTAGAATTCTATTGAATCTTGAAAACTTGTCATTAATGGAATGGATTTCTAACCCAGTGAGATGCATGACAAATACGAAATAGAGGTTTATGCTAGTGTTGGGTTCCTTGCAATTTAGTTTCTTTAGTTGTATATTTTTGGATACACATGTTGATGTTTTATGGGTTTGAGTACCCCTTGTACTCAGTTAATATTATGATATTTCTTTTGCTTTTCAAAAAAAAAAAAACTAATTTAATAACCTAGCATACACCGCGCCTTTGTTCTCAAATTTTCATCTCAAATTTGTCCCCCTATCATTACTCAAAGAATATATAAGATTCTAGAATATAAAATGAACATATATAATTTAATAAATAAAAGTTTTAATTTAATAGTTAGTTTAATTTTTAAAATATTAATTAAAAATAAGTTTTTAAACATATTCTCCAAATTTCAGAAACCAAAATCAACATTAAATTAGTGCGAGAGTCATTAAAATAAAAAATATAAAAATACAAAATTTAAACTTCCAAGATCATGCTTAGTCTTTCAACTTCAAAGAACCAAGGGGGTCTAGGAACTATAAGATCTTTGATGGGCAGCCTCCTGCCTGGCTTTGTTTAAAAGAGTAAAGCATCTGTAATCTATAGTGGGCTTCGTAGCATTTTGAAATACGATTATAACTACTGATAAAGATGTTAGGTTATTAAAATAATAAAATATTATTTTTAAAAATATTAATTTTGTAAAATTTAATTAATAAAAATAATTAATAATTATTATATTAATTATTAATTAATATAATAATTAATATTTATTAATTAATAAATTTAAATTAACTAAAAAATTAATATTTTTAAATATTATATAAAAAATAAAAAAATAAAATTTGGTTGCCTTTCAATGACCACATCCGCATTTTGCTTTTGTGCGTGGAGAAGATTGAAACTTTTGGTGGAAGGATTTCAAGGGTCACTTCTGTACCATATTAAACGAAAAGCCAAAATAATGGAAAAGACCTTTGATTTGTAAAGGCCAAAATTTTGATTGTAGATTTTCCACAAAGAGTTGGGTTTTACCTAGGCAATATAGGTGTCTTTAAAATCCTTGTGATTAGAGCTTTCTGTTGATATATATATGTGACTAGTTTTAACACCATTTTTTCATTGACATGCATTGTTTGTGTGGCCTCACAGGTGATCACTCTTTCCTTTGTTTCTAATGACATATATATACACTTTATTTTATTCAAATTACATGTGTAAAGAACCTAAAGAAACCCAAAAACGAATAAAGTCATTTAAGATACTAATTGAATTACTTATGTTAGTGCAGCTATCTTCACCTAAGTCAATCTATATATCTCACCAAACCCATTCCGCACGTCTAACTTCTCTCTTTTTGAGTGGATTTCACGGGTCCCTTCTGTCCCCTATCAATTGAAAAGCCAAAATAACGGAAAAGACTTTTGATTTGTAAAGGCCAAAATTTTGATTGTAGATTTCTCACAAAGAGTTGGGTTTTACCTAGGCAATATGGGTGTCTTTAAAATCCTTGTGATTAAAGCTTTCTGTTGATATCTATATATATATATATATATATATATATATATATATCTGACTAGTTTTTTTTTTTTTTTTACCCAGTCACGTAATTAGTATTTTCATAAGAGGCAATTGATGGAAAAAGAGACAGAATATCCATCTTTAAAATTAGGAGAATGATATAGGTTCAACATTTTGTTAGTGCCATCCTGATCTAACTCATTCTATCTGTACTCACTATCTCAGGCAAATCTTCGGCACTTTGAGCTTGTCTTTTTTGCACCCCACAAACTAGGGTAACAAAATGAACTTTTCTTCTTTAAATAATACAGGAATATGAAGTTTGATAATGTGTGAACAAGCTATTGTAGAAAACTTTTAACATTTGTCTCTTATCAGTGGGTAGCACATGCACTAAATAAGGGTGTAGGCGGTTCAGACGTTAAAAGACATTTGTCTTAAAATATGATATAATGATTTATGGGTTGAGCATTCCTAAACTTCAAACAAATAAAATCTTAGCTGTTCAAAAAAAATTTTCTGCCTTCTATCAACCGAAAAGCAAAAATAACGAAAAGACCTTTGATTTATGAAGGCCAAAATTTTGATGGTAGATTTCTCGCAAAGAGTTTTCTTTTACCAAG